AAAAAAAAAAAAGAAGGCAATTCATCAAATATGGAAATTAGTTGCCTAATTAAGCACATAATTAGTTTTCATCGATGAATATTCATGAAAACAGATTTCCCTGTATCTAGCTACCACAGAGTAGAATACTCAAATCTTTGATGATACGTAGTAAAACAGAACAAGGATTGTACTGTATGTATGTGTTTGTTGAATGCAGTCTAAATATATGTTTTAGTATAAATTTAATGATAGCAGACCCAGTGCTGGCTTTGCTGCTGTGTTGCCTCAGTGCTTCCTTTCATAAAATAAAGGACTTTTGTATCTTTTGACTAATTCCACTCGTAGAATGTTGTTCTGTCTTCATTCCGAGTCTTCATTTTATGGCGTCCTGTCAAGGCTTTATTGTGATACTGTCTTCTGGGTTCAGGCTGAAGGACTACATTTCTAAGATCTTTTGGTTACTTAGATAATCTCCTTTGGATGGTTTGTAAGACAGAATCTCATAGAAATCCTTCCCTGACCATTATCTCTAAAGAAATGTTATGATTAAATAAATAAAGCGAAATGACTTTTGTCCAATTGGGAAGTTAAGTTTGTGAAAACAAATGGGCAATTATAACCTCATAGATTTTCTTATATGTATTAGAATTACCTGCTGCGATGTGATATAGCAGAGAAGTGATTGCCCCTCGTTCAACTACTATACGTATCTATCTATGGTGAGGCCAAATTTTCTTTATTTATTTCGAACAAAGCATCAAAAATAGGTTGAAGGCTGACTTGTGACATTTCAACTATCTTCTCATATTAAATATTAAAGATTTGAAAAAAATCCAAAATAATGCCTTTTCTCATAAATTTGTTTTGGAAAGTATTATCACTAAAAATATGTTACCTTTGTTAACATGTAATGAATTTATTTTTAATCAAAATCTTAAGTATTTTTAATTTCTTCAGTTTTAGTTTTGCATATGATAATCTAGGTATTTACCTAAGTGACAAAACAAAGATCTGCAGTGATAACTTTGGATGATACTGTACTGGAACATGGAAATAAGGTAAAATGTAATATTTTCGTTTTTCTCAGCTTATTAAAATGTTTTCTTTAAGGTTTTACAAAATAATGCGAAGTACCAGGTAGTGCCCAAGAAGCTGACCATAGGCAAGCGCCTGGCCCAGTGCCTGCACCCAGCACTGCCGGGCGGGGTGCACCGGAAGGCACTCGAAACCTATGAGATTATCTTCAAGATCATCGGACCTAAGCGACTTGCCAAAGACCTTTTTTTATATAGGTAAGAATAATTTTATTATTAATTTACATATAATATAAACATGTCACTAAGCTATTTTATGCTTTCTCCACAAAAAGCTAAAAATTAAAAATTCCTTAGATTAGATATTTTCAGATATAAATCTTAAATATTTAAATTATTCAGAAACAATGAAGAGCATTCCTTAACATATTCTTTTTATTTAGATGTCATTTATTAGAAGTTTTCATTTGAAATTGTTGTACTGGGGTATATTCTATCTACGGCATGTTCTTGAACACTCATCTCAGATTAAGATACCTTGATTCTTCAGCACATTTCAGTATTGTCGACCATGCTCTTTCTGAATAGTCTGTCCCTTGGCTTTTGTTATACCACATTTTCTTGTTTATTCTTCTTTACTCTTCCTTCACCAGCTTGTCCTCTTTTACCTGAACTTTACATATGGACTTTCTTAGGTCTCACTCAGTTCTATGTTTTCTTATGGTTTCACTTTATATTCTCTCCTTGAGCAAGTTATCCATACCCATAATTTATCTTATAAAAAAATTTTTGTATATGTTTAAGATATCCAACACGATATTGTGAGCTAAGTAACGATAGTAAAACAATTACTGTGGTGAAGCAAATGAACATATCCCCCATCTCAGACAGTTCCCCACTGTGTGTGTGGCAAGGGCAGCAGAGTCTACTCATTTAGCAGAAATCCCACATAACAATCCAGCATCACGATCCTCCTAGCGTTTACATTAGCGCTCTGGATTTGCTCTTCCTGTGCATCTCAGGCTGCAGCCTCCATCTCTCCATCCCCGCTGCCCTGTTCAACATGGTTTTATCTTTATGTGCTTACTCCAGTGTGAAGGCTGCAGGGCCAGCTTCAGCTTTGAACTCCTCATGCTTGAATTTCTGTGTGGTGGACCTTTAGAGTCAGCTATTGCTCTACCTGTTCATAACTGAACTGACTCTCTCCTGTAAAGCTGGCCTTGCTGCACTACCCTAGAGTGCTCAGTGAGTGTGACACTGGTTCTGTCACACAGGCCTTGAAGCTGAGACCTACATTTGTTACCTTGTCCCCACACATACTGCCCCTGTCATGTGCAGTCGTCACGGGGGTTCTACCTGATGGTGGGTAACTGCAGAGCTAGTAAAGTCAAACTAGTTCTGTAATTTGAGGCCATTTTATTCACCTCTCTGTATTTGTATTCTCATCTGAAAAATTGAAGTAAGATTATTGACCTCATAGGATGGTTGATGAAATTGAAAGTTAGTACATGGAAGGAGCACACAGCAGTCTGCAGCATACAGAGTGTTGATTAAAGTCAGCTGCTACAGAAGTCTCAGATACGTGTGCTGCCGGGACCCTCG